AGTATATATATATATATATAATAATATAAGTATATATATATATATATATATATATATATATAGTATATATATATATATATATATATATATATATATTCACGCATGTATGTATACTTATATGAATATTTACGTGAGTACTTATTATATTTAATATATATGCATGCAATAATATATGCATATATCATTTATTTTATATGAAATCTACGGAATGTATAATACTTTTATCACATAATCATAAAGTGATTAAGATGATAATAAAAAATTCAGATCTTAAAGGATTGCAGATCTTAAAGGATTACTAATATTATTTAATCAATTTCTAATTTTTTTGGGACATCAAAAAATTTCTAGGAAAATTTCTAGGAAACTTTATAGTATAATATAACATCAAAACTTTTTTAATACCACATTTTTTCAATTTTGTTAAATTGCAGGAACAATTGAGTCCAAAAAATTAAAATTATAACACTAAACAATAATATGTTAAATAAATTTACAGAGTGAGCAAAGCTTCGCTAAAGACGTTTCGAAGAATAAAGAGTATTGATGATAATTCAACACTTTTTCAAAAATGTCATTTTCTATTGCTTCTTCATAGTTAATCCAAATATACCTATTTTTTATTACAATAAAGTTAGCAACTAGAAATTATTTCTTTTTATAGCCATACGAATTGATAGCTGCAACAAGAAGATCTTTTATTATTATTCAGATTCTTTTTAATATTATATAATACAAATTTTCTTAAGTAAAGTATGTACATATATAAAATTCATTTTGCATTAAGTAACTTTAAAATTTCTTTTAAATTTTGTTTTAATTGTCTAACTATCATTATATTAATTATCTAATGATCGTTAATAAATATCGCAGTTTTTCTCTTGACTTACCTTCGTATTCTTTGTCGACTTGTACCAATAATGAGTACCATTGGGGTCCGTCTATCGTCTTCATTTCCAACGTACCACCGTATTGTGAAGGTAAGCATTTCGGCGATATATATTGATGCAACGATTTACGATCAGTACCGTGGAAGATTATCTAATAAAAAAAGAAACTATACTAATTGGCTAATAATTGATGCCAATCTGTTATAATAATTTGTTACTAAACTTCTAGTATAGTCTGATATTCTGAGATAATACACCTATTTATAGTACACTTACTCTATTCTTCAACTTTTCCTTTAGGAACGGTTTGAACAGAGCAAACACCATGTTGAACACATACGGTTGATTCACAATATGTATGTTCTTGATTCTCACTGGCATCGCATCTTGAAGCAAATCGACTATCCTCTTGGCGAACGGCGGGGTAAATTGCCAAGCTTGTTGCAAAGTAAGACCGTCCATGTCAAAGATGACGATCGCGCCGGCAATTTGCGTGCTCGGCTCCAGCATGGCAGCCTCTAAGTACAATACGCATCCTTTGTAGACTTCGTCAAGGCTGCATTTGTTGTGCTTCCACTTCTTGCCAAGTTCAATTATTAATATACGTCGGCCATACTGGTCGCGATTAGGCAGGACGGTCAGGATGTTCTGCTCGAAAACATTTTTCTCTCTGCTCGGCTTTAGGTTGTCGTATATGGACGAGTGCTTCACTTTAAAATTATAGTACTGCTTGATGAGATTGCGTGACGATTCAGGATAATATTTGCAAGGCCTTAAGAACCTTATCAGCCAGGCCTCGTTGTCCAATGGACATTTCAGATCTACTTCCTCTGTCAAACAACGAAGAAAATTTTATTTTAAACATATACGAGAAATTGAAAAAGAAGTTTTTAGAGATCGATTACGATTTATTTAAACATTTTAAGAAGCGAAAGCATTTAACTCAATATTTATGTTACATTTTATATTTCAATTCATATTTTTCATTTTGTATTTTATAATTTTTATATATTAATTTATCAGGATTACCTTTTAATAATTGTTGCAGTTGCTTCATCGCCTCCTTTTGTCTTTCAGGAGTCTCTCTGAGCTCCTTCCTGGCAACTTCTTGCAATTCCGCACTAGGAGGACCCAGCTCAAACTCTAGCTTAAAGTCGCCGATCTGTATGAACGGCACTTCGGTGAGGTCCGATAACATGATATCTGAAAATGTAATATGTTAAAAATTGAATATCCCTTTTTTTTAGTCAAAAAGTTTATTGAATTTTTTTTTAAGTATTCTCTAATAATAATAATAAACATTCGTAACAATAAAAACACGCATGATAATCTAATAACAAGTAAAATTAAATAAATAGATAATTGATAATAATCCGTTAATAAGTTAAATTAAACTTCAATGGTACTGGATAATGTAAAAGGAAAATTTTACAGATACTATTGTCTCTATATTATGTCGGTTAAAGTATAAAAAGTAACAATATAAATGATTAAACTTATTTTATTAAAACTTTATTTCGGTTCGGGCTTTTATGTCATATGCATTTCATTTAAAATGTTAAATTGGATCGCCTACTGTTTATAATATATTTTGAATATACATACAATAATCGCTAATACGTTAACGTGATGTATATATTAATATCACAGAAATAATGATTTCGCGATGGCGGAAATAATGATTTTACATGGATAACAACCGAACCTCGCAAGGAATCGAGCGATATTGTTAATTCACTATCTAAATCGATGAAAGAGACAAGTCTTATTTCTTGTGAGGGCAATCGCTAATTATTATATTACGAATGCAATGAGTAATGCAGCCAATCCAGAGACTGCAGAATAAAAATCCTCGTTGGCACGTCACGTTTTGCGGGGACAATCGTTGAAAACGTGACTCAGCTACGTTATCGGAAACATTCGAAAGAGTCATTCTGTGGTCGAAGAATTATATTCCGAGCTCTCCGACAACTACACTACACTTTATTTGTATTGTATAATCTACCGATGTAAATATTACATCGGGTTAATAGAATTTTTTTCAGAGCAAATATGAAGCTAGCAGAATGCATTAAAACTAATTACTTCTATCATATTAATTTATTACTGTGTAAAACAAATTTGCATGTACATTATGTGAGTTTAAGTTTAAGTAAAAAAAAGTATGACGAAGAATGCGATTAATGATTAATGATTTATGAATTTTGTCTAATTGACACTCATCGGTTTAATTCTTCGTAATGACTAACCAAAAGATCAAATTTATTCCACCAGTGTGCCATGTATGCTAATTACTTAGTATAATTCCATTACGTATCCTCGACCCATGCCCTTGACTGTAAAGAGTCCTTGATTGTTAAGTTGAAAGCTATCGGTAAAGCTACAAGAAGATATGACGAACGTGTCAAGGAAGTGGCGTAATTATTGTTTGCTGATATAACATTTTTCAGATACTATTGTGCGCAATAATAATTTTATCATTATTATTACGATATACGTGATGCATATTAATAACTTTGGAAAAGAACGAACGTTGAAAATCTCGATTCTACAACTGAAAGGAAAGTAATGTAACTTTTAGCAAATTTTTATATAACTTTCCACTCTTTCGTCTCTCCATCTCTTCAAAGGGATATCGATTATAAGAACTTTTAAAAAATGTAAAAACCAATTCACTTTAATACGACAATAAACTAAATCGGCAATAGAATCCGTGACGTATCTGATAATCTTTTTATTTTTTTAATTGATATAAATTAAAATTATTATTTCAAAAATATACAATTAAATATTATATAAATTCAAAGATAGACGCCAAAAAAGGCGTCTGCTTTATCGAATATTACTGGTATTCTCTTCTATTCAATTTACACTCAACTTATACATATACCGATTGTGATGTCGATTCACTTTACTTACGTAAAGTAAGTTCGCGATGTTTTGACAAACTCGTAAACAACTATTCATCGTTACAACGATCGATATGTATGTCAGAACATAATGATGCATACACACGCGCTTATATGCTCTTCACTGCACTTCGTTGACATACTGCTATCCTTAGCGCAAACGAGTTAGTTCATTATTGTGGGTTCTCCTGTCAACTCTACGTGCCTTATCGTGTTTTAACTAAGTGTATGCGCGTGAGTGTAACGCATTTTTACTTTATCTGCGTCTGATACGACTTGCGAACACCGAAGCGACTACCGAACCATACGTCTGCGGTAACGTATTACGAAAAATAATATCAGATATGATAACGGGGAACGATGTAAGAAAACACAATGCGCCCGTTACACCGTTACACCCGTTGTGCCTGAACTTGCGCGATTTTGCAGGATGCAATTATGCAACGCCTATGCCGGCATGGCGGGATAATTTCGCAGTAGCACGCGAGACCGTCTTTGTTTCCCGCGACGCGCGACGCGAAGCGCGAATTAGCTCAGAATCTTGATCGCGCGTGGGAATTAATTATGAGGTTGTATACTTACGTTGCAAATCGATAAAAGTGCGAAAAGGCCAACATTAATTTTCACAAAATGTTAATACGCGAAAATTATACTCGCCGAAAGAAATAGTCATTTCTCGATACTTCGATTTTTCCGCATGCGATGTGAATTACGTAAAGCGCGATTAAAAATCAAAAACAGAAGGAACGAAGAGTCATCGGTATTATTTCGCGCAGCGATTTTCGCACAGTCTTCCGATACGTTATCCAGCAAAATGTGTGAGGATAACAATTAGCAAAAGATAACAATTAGCTTTTGAATTATATGTAATTTAATTTGTAAAATTTGCTAAGAATTATCGCGTTCCTGTTTTTCTTTTTACGCGCGGCAATAACAAGATATATTTTCGATACTTGTTAAGAAAAAGCATAAAATACAGGCTGGCAGGCTTTGTTATGCGAAGCACGCCACGGTAAACTGCGTTTCAAGTTCGGAATTAGGTGCTTCGTCTTCCGCGAAATTATGAGGTACTTCTGCTTTAATGGCATATCGATCTTTTACATACAATACTCGATGTAGGAAGACCTAAAACCACACATTTCTTCTTTAATGAAAACGTCAAGATGTCGATGTAATCTTTGAGTCGTGAATCATTGAAGAGGAAGAAACTTCGGCGAAAAAAATTTCGAGAGATGCAAATAAAGAATATTAAATTATTTCTCAGTCACGAAAAAAAATTGAACAACAACATCAAGTGTAATTAAAAATAAACTTATTGTCTCAACGGTATTAATAAAATAAATAAATGCATATATATTTCTTTCATTACTCATTGAATTCTTAATAAGATTATTTTTAATTATATTGTTGTTGACTCAACATCATTCTTCTTTTTCTGATTGATTTTAAGTACACATTAAAAATTAATTATATAAGAATTAATTATACAATTATATTGATAGTCAAATTGAAGCTATTTTAAAGAAAAAGAAAAAACATTCGGTGAAAGAATAATCCAAAAATAGTTCAATGAATGTAATCTCCATCTTATAAATAAGTATGTTTAAACGATGCAAAAATGAAGAAGTGTTCCTCTAGATGTTCCCTTTCACTGTTTTCTACTCATTGGCAATCGCGAGTGTACTTAAGTCCATTTTACCACGCTTTCGGGACGACTATTGGTTTTATAAACAACTGGCAGTCGACCAAAACATCGTTTCACGGATTGCGAAAAGCGCATGTATTGGCGACTATGTAAGTAAATTAGTTATTTCCGCTGACGCCAATTTCTGTATCGAAATAACTCGTATCAAAAAACAGTTCGACAAGCATTATAAAAGAATAATTTTGCCATAAAAATAAAATCTCTCTCTCTTTCTCTCTCTCTCT